AAAACACCGAAAACACCGAACGACTTTGCTAACAGCGGCCATCCACGGACGATCCTTACACTAACTGGGTACTCGGAGGTCGTGAAAGAGACCCGTGTCTAAACCCACCTGGAAGTGAAACAGAAAATGGATAGATAATTAGAATCATTAAAACAAATAATAATCATTTTCTTTAAAAGTAATACATTTAAACATGATAATTAAGAGATAATAACTTCAAGAGATAATAACTTTAAAAATAATAACTTAAGAGATAATAACTTTAAATAATAACCTTTAAAATAATAATTTAAAAAATAATACTTTAAAAAAATAATTAACTTTTAAAAAATAATAACTTTTAATAACTTTAAAAATAATAACTTTAAGAGATAATAACTTTAAGAAATAATAACTTTAAGAGATAATAACTTTAAGAAATCGGGGTGTCCAGTTCGTGTTTCTGATGCTGTTTGGGGATTTATTATATATATATATATATATATATATATATATATATATATATATATATAGAAGGCTAAATAGGAGGATAATAGGGAAGATATAAGCTAAGGGAAAATGGGAAGGAAATGGAAAAGATAAAAAGACAAAATTTAAAAAATAATAATACATAGCTCATCATAAGACTAAATCATTTATATCGATTCATCAATATAGAGACGAGTAAGTGAATAAAGAGATGGATGAATAAGTATATAGACAGCATCGATAACTATACATCATATTTTTCCCATTTTCATGATCTTTTAGAAAATAACGAAACGTCTTTCATATTCTTCGTAAGGGAAGACACGAAGAATACAAAAGTCAGAATCTACATAGCGACACAATTAACTACAACAAACAGCATATTTAATCACCCCATTACCTAATTAAAACACCCATATTAACATCACCCCAAAGAGCCACACGAAACGCCTTGTCTTCACCAATTAAAAAAACATCACAACACTAACTTCTGGATCCGTTATTTGCCATAGAATTATACCTCGCATGCGTCACGCCATCGACCTGACACTCCCACGCCACTCACCACCCTCGACCTACACTCCCACGCGCTCGCCCTCACAGATACGGGAGGAAGACGATGCTCGTGGTAGGGACTCTCACCTACTCGGTCTTGGCCAACGCGGTCTCCTGGCTTCACAACATCTCGGTTATCCTGCTGGCCGGTTCTGCTTGGGGCTGATGCATCCGACGTCCATACATTCTGCTTTCAGTCTAGGTTTGTGGCGTTGCGAGTTTTGTGGTTTGGTTTTGCTGTAAAGGGGGGGGGGTAGGAGGTGGGGGGGAGGAGGAGGAGGAGGAGGGGGGGGCAGGAGGAGGAGGAGGTGGGGGGCAGGAAGGGCAGGAGTGAAGAGGAAGAGGAGGAGGAGGTGGGGCAGGAAGGGGAGGAGGGGAGGAGGTGGGGGGCAGGAAGGGAAGGGGGGGGGGGCAGGAGGAGGAGGAGGTGGGGTGGGGGCAGGAAGGGGAGGAGGTGGGGTGGGGGGCAGGAAGGGAGGAGGTGGGGGGGGAAGGGGGAGGGGAAGAGGAGGAGTGGGGGCAGGAAGGGGAGGGGGAGGAAGAGGAGGAAGAGCAGGAGGAGTAGGAGGAGGTGGGGCAGGAAGGGGGGGGAGGGAGGAGGAGGTGGGGCAGGAGGAGGAGAGGGTGGGAGGAGGAGGAGGAGGAGGAGTGGCAGGAGGAGGAGGAGGGGGTAGGAGGAGGAGGAAGGGGGGTAGGAGGAGGAGGCGGTGTAGGAGGAGGAGGAGGAAGAAAGTACAAGGAGGAAGAGGGATAGGAGTTTGAGCAGAAGATGGAAGAGAAGATCTTGCAAGAGTACAAAAAGAGGATTAGGAATTTAGAATGAAGAGGAGTTGGAGTTTGTCAAAGCTTTTAACAAAATTTATAAGGCGATTTTTAAAAAGTATGTTCCAAATAATAGATAGATTAATCCTCTGGTTCTGAGGTAAAAATGGTTTAATTATGCCTTAATCGGATGTTATCTGGATAGACTGGATCTGAGAACCACCTACAAAATAACCCATCTCTCAAAATATATTCCCTGGAAGAAAATTCATGTATTGCGAACCGCCACAGAAAGGATTTTTTATTTTATTTATTTTATTTTTTTATTTTTTTATTTTTTATTTTTTTTTTTTTTTTTTTTTTTTTAGTCGAGAGGTGATAGATACTTCGAATAAAGTAGATGCAAAAGCAATTACATTTCCCTTTGATTTCCCAGCGTTTTCCCTTCACTTCCAGCCATGGAGATCTGCGTCCCCCGCTACAGATCCTTCGTGGGCATCCTCGTTTTCTTGCCTTGGTCTCTCTCCGTCATCGCCCTGGGTGGCTATGGCTACCTGCTGAGAGACTGGAGGTGGCTCATGTTCACAGTCTGTCTGCCGAGTCTGCTGTTCTTGCCCGCGCTGTGGTAGGTGGGAAAGCCTGCGAGTGTGGCGCGGCTGTTGCACTATTTCGTTTGGTAAAATTTGGTCTGTTGGGGTATCTGATATTGGTATGTTCGTATACGTAGACGAGGAAAAAATGAATAGATTTTAGATAGATTGATAAAAAAATTGGGTAGATTTTAGACAGATTGATGAAAGAGGAATATGGGAATAGGGTGAATAATGGATAAATAAATAAATCGATGAATGAATAGATAAGTAAATAAACAGATACAAAAAAGAAAGAATAGACAAGTAAAGGGGAGAACAAAGAAAAAGATAAACAATACATAAATTTAAAAAAAAAAAAAAAACTGTAACGAATCTTAAACACCCTTATTGCTGAATGAAGGTTTATCGACGAATCACCTCGTTGGCTGATAGTGAAAGGCCGCCACCAGGAGGCTCTGCGCGTCCTCCGAAGGGCTGCGAAGTGGAACAAGGTCAAATTACCGCGCGATGAGGAACTGCTGACTGTCATGGCGGAAATACAAAAGGAGGTACGCTCGTATCCCCTCTTCAACTCGAGCATTTTCCCTAGCTAGCTTTTCAGAATCGTTAATAAAATCACGGAATGGAATGAATGATAGCAATATATCAACCAACTTAGATGTCACTTGATGTGGTTATTTTTATCAGAGATCGTTCATTCATTACCACACGAAAAGATACTGTTGACTGTCATGGCGGAAATACAAAAGGAATTACGCCTGTATCCCTCTTTTGTATTAGGGCAGGTGAATGTAAATATTCCTTGTATCTAAAACCTTGTAAAGTAGTTCAAAAACAGTTTGTGAATATTAGGATTTAAGGGCATATAGTTGACTCGAAATAGAGACAGGTTTGATGACAGTTTAACTTAATACAGCAAGAAGATGGGCGGAGTCAAGGTCGAGCAAGTTCCTCGGCTCTTGTAGATCATCTCAGAAGTGCTGGCAATGAACTCATCATTCTCTTCAAGTAAGACTGAAATATATTAATTGACCATTTCGAAGTTTTTTTTTCAGCTGGTGAAGAATCTCAAAAAGTGCAATTACACGTATGTGTGTGTTGTGTGTGTGTGTGTGTGTGTGTGTGTGTGTGTGTGTGTGTGTGTGTGTGTGTGTGTGTGTGTGCTGTATATGTATTTTAGTACGTACGTGGGTATGTATTTATGTACGTATACATGTTCTCATCAGTCCCCATACCCATCTCTACCGAAACAAACAATCAACAGAACCCGGAGGATACGGACGCTAACCCTATACTTATACGTGAATTACGTAGTCGCCGGTTTAGTCTACTACGGCCTCTCCCTCGGCGGCGACAAGTTCGGCGTCGACCCCTTCGTGTACATGTCCCTGAGCGGGGCCATGGAGATCCCCGGCAGCACCCTCACGATCCCCATGGTCGACAGGATGGGCAGGAGGCCTTCGAACGCCATTTGCTTCTTCGTCACGGCTGCCGTTCTTCTGGTGCTTGGGGTCATACCGACAGGTGAGAACGAGACCGAGGTTTGTGATTGATGAAAAAACGAGGAAAAGAGGTAAATGATAAGGTTTGTGATTGATGAAAAAAACGAGGAAAAAAGGTAAATGATAAGGTTTGTGATTGATGAAAAAACGAGGAAAAGGGAAATGATAAGGTTTGTGATTGATTGAAAAAGGAAAAGCACTCGAGGAAAAAGGGTAAATGATAGATGAATTAGTAAATAAAAAGAGGAAAATTTGACTGGGGGGTGAGAAATTTGAGCGCCTAAAGAGCATGTGTGTAAGAAGTGGTCCTTCTGTAAACAAAATTAACTTGAAGGATTGGTGGATGGTTTTAAGATATTCATTGGCCTACTCGAGGAAAAAGGGTAAATGATAGATGAATTGATAAATAAAAAGAGGAAAATTTGACTGGGGGGTGAGAAATTTGAGCGCCTAAAGAGCATGTGTGTAAGAAGTGGTCCTTCTGTAAACAGACTTAACCTGAAGGATTGGTGGGTGGTTTACATATATTCATTAGGCATACTCGAGGAATAAGGGTAAATGATAGATGAATTAATAAATAAAAAGAGGAAAATTTGAAAGTGGGGTGAGAAATTTGAGCGTGTAAAGAGCATGTCTGTAAGAAGTGGTCCTTCTGTAAACAGACTTAACCTGAAGGATTGGTGGATGGTTTTTAAGATATTCATTGGCATACTCGAGGAATAAGGGTAAATGATAGATGAATTGATAAATAAAAAGAGGAAAATTTGACTGGGGGGAGATTTTGGGCGCCCAAAGAATATTTGTGTAGGAAGTGGTCGTTTTGTAAACAAAATTTACCTGAAGGATTGGAGGATGGTTTAAAAATCTTCACTGGCATATATTTGAAGAAAGTAAGTGACTTCCTCTCGTAGAATGAAGTGTACTGACCTAATTGGGACACACACGCACAGGGATTGACTGGCTGGTGACAACCATGGCTTTACTCGGGAAACTCACCATCGCCGCCGCCTACCAGGTCCTCTCCCTCCAAGCCACGGAGCTCTTCCCGACCGAGGTCCGACTCCGCGGCTTGGGAACCTGCTCCATGATGTCCAAGATCGGGTCGATTTCGGCGCCGTTTTTGGTCGAGGCTCTGGTGAGTGGATGGGTCCTTCGGGGAGTGGATGGGTCCTTCGGGTCCTTCGGGAGTGGATGGGTCCTTCGGGGAGTGGATGGGTCCTTCGTCCTTCGGGGAGTGGATGGGTCCTTCGGGGGAGTGGATGGGTCCTTCGGGAGTGGATGGGTCCTTCGGGGAGTGGATGGGTCCTTCGGGGAGTGGAGTCCTTGGATGGGTCCTTCCTTCGGTAAGTGGATGGTTCCTTCGGGGAGTGGATAGGTCCTTCCTTCGGGGAGTGTATGGTTCCTCGTTGAGTTTTAGTTACAGGGACTGTTGTAGTTATAAGCGATGATAAGTAACCTGTTGCTTGGGGATATTTATTCTGTTATTATTCTGTCTGTTTGAGTAGTTCTACCCACTAGTATTTTCATCTTATATCGCTTTGTTTTCTCCACTCTCTCCCTCTTGTCCATCTCGACGAGTTTAGGATCTGAACTGAACAACGGTCAATAAACCAACGGATGTATGACCAAGAAAATACACGAACATGCCGAAGTACTTCTCCCTATATGGCATCCTCAGACCAATTCCCTTTTTTCTGCCCTGGAGACCCAACGAAGCGAAAAGACCTTTGGCATTGTTAGTTGTTATTCGTCATTTTATCTCCCGGAGTTTACGAAATCATCTTTCACTTCCTCAGGGCACCATCGGGTCCTGGGCGCCCCTCGTGCTCTTCGGGGCAGCTGGTTTTGTGGCAGGAGTGGTGACCCTGAGGCTGCCGGAGACTCGTGGGACGCTCATGCAGGACACCGTGGCTGGTTTAGAAGCGTCTGGCAAAACAGTCAAGGAAAAGTAAGTGAAATGAATAATGGCTGATGATTATGGTAAATTAAGTGAGGGGGAATGTACAATAACACCTAGAAATAAGGTTGTACGTCTTATTACAGTAAGTGAAATTAATGATAGGTGATGATTATGATAAAAAAGTAGTGGGGGGAATGTACAATAACACCTAGAAATAAGGTTGCACTTATTACAGTAAGTGAAATTAATGATAGGGGATGATTATGATAAATTAAGTAGTGGGGGAATGTACAATAATACCTGGAAATAAGGTTGCACGTCTTATTACAGTAAGTGAAATGAATAATGGCTGATGATTATGATAAATTAAGTAGTGGGGGGATGTACAATAATACCTGGAAATAAGGTTGCACGTCTTAGTACAATACCTTTATATTCAAAAAGCTTATTACAGCACATTTGTATGCAAAAGCTGATGGGTAGGAATTTGTTGATGTTCATAGCATAAGGGTCTGTCATATCCTCGTGTTGGTTGTACGGACTAGGTTTTTAATACTTTTTATATTCTTTTATCCGCAGATCCGCGCCCTTAGCCCAGCAAGAGCAATACCTGGAGGAGAAGGAAACGCTCACTTAGCCGTGTGCGGATATGTATATATATATATATATATATATATATATATATATATATATATATATATTTGTATGGATATATATATATATATATATATATATATATATATATATATATATATACAAATGCAAGCGCTCACACGCACACACGCGCGCGCACACATACACAAATATATGTGTGTGTGTATATATATATATATATATATATATATATATGTATATATGTATGTATATATATATATATATATATATATATATATATGGTAATTTTCTATATTACGTCCGCATAACCGATGTCGACGATTTTGGTATCGTTGGATTCCTCTCATGTCCACATTGCAAACATATAGTTTTTATTGTGCGGAAACCCCCCCGTTAGCGACAAACTTGGCCCGATAGCAGGGGAGGCATGGAAGGTTCCAGGGAAAATGCGGGGTTAAATAGCACTAATAATATAACGCACAGTGAAAATAACCATGGTTATTCATATAACTTTCCATTGCAGGGGGCTGCGCCACCTGCGACCCCCCTGGGGGCTGCCGCCCCCAACCCCGCCGAGGACACAAAACCTCCACCACCTATTCCCGGCAGGCTAGAGCGTTACACAGTTATCGGCGATCTCGGAGCGGCGGACGTATTACAATTACCTTGTAACATTCCCACTGAATCAGCATACTAACCTTGACATAGTCAGCATTGGATACAGAGACGATTGTAGTATAAACAGGATGAACAAGGTATACCATGAACAGAAGAGCGGCGGTGGCCTGCCCTCGTCCGGTCGGCGGGTTTTGCGCCTTTTTCGATGCATCTAGTTCGTGTGCGCTCTATCCTGCCGTGAATACGTGGTGGAGGTTTTGTTTCCTCGGGGGTTGGGCGGTAGCCCCCCCCCCCAGTGGGGGTCGCAGGGGCGCAGCCCCTGCAATGGAAAGTCATGTGAATAACCATGATTATTTTCACTGTGAGGATATATTATTAGGGTAATTTTATATATTACGTCCGCCGCTCCGACATCGTCG